AGAAGTGAAACCACAGTACTCGCATGCGACTCACAGATATCGAGAGCGAATAATCCGATTGGTTTCGGTAAAATTTAAACTAAATTACGTCAATTAACCATTTTCAGTTATTTTTCTTGTGAGTATTAAAATTCATGCTTAGCAAAATGTCGTAGACATTTGAAACTTGCTATTAGCTTGCAGTAATGCGCGGTCTCTGGTTCTTTACAAGTAACGGTTTCAAGTTTCAAAAGGCGGTTAACACCAAGTGCTCCCCTTTAGTGTTGCCCATCTAAGTCAAAAACTACCTTTTTGAAGGCTATGGACATCACAACCAAGGCGAACGTCATTCTTTGTCGAGCACCCTAAACAGTGAATAGCAAGACCTTTCCAAGGTGTCCATCCTTTAGTCTTCTCGGAAATTTTCTCGTCCTGGTAATGTTTCTCAATGTTCACCCGGAACTTGGATAAAACGGAACGTCGCCATTTTCAGCGTAGATGACCTCCAGCCACTCAATATACTGGTTCATAGTGTGCGATAGCTCAGCCAGTCAGATTGCAGCTTTTGCATAAGTTTACAAGTAGAATTCTACTAAAAATGAGTGGAGGACGGAACAATTCTCATTGATTTCATAACTTAAATTTCCTTCTTCTCTGAAAAAAACCTACCCTACCTAGAAAGCTTTAGAAAGGGGAGAAAAGGTAGCGTTTTCCCCCATTCCTCTCCCCTGTAGTCCTATTTAGATCTTTCCGTTTCAATTTGGGTTAGCTCAGGTAACAGTTGTAACCTAGCCGTAACAAGTGAAACCAAACCCTACAACCCAATTGACGAAGTGTATGTAAAACTTGGGCGATCTTGTCAGGAAATTTAATTGGTGGAAGTGGAAGTTTAGACATGATTCTCCCGGGAAAAAGAAACTAGGATTAATTTGACAGCAACTAGAAAAATAGTTTTAAGAATGCCTATTTGCTGGCTAGTCATCGGCCGTGATAGTCCTCATTGAAATTGGACAAATTGGCTCGTTGTGTGCTCCTGTGCTAACTCCATCGACATTTGAGAAATCATACACCAGTCTAGTGATTAGACATTTCAATACTTTCTTGCATGACAATATCTAAGCTTATCGTACCAAATGCTTATTATTCTTGCAAAGATTTATACTCATGTGACAGCTGACTGTAAACAGGTAAACCTTCAAAGTGGCGAGGTTCAATGTGAGTCATTGCAGCATTATATATACATATATAGTTCACAGTAACAACAGCGATCTTTATTTCTGCCCTTTAGATTTACATATAAGAAAAAAATAAATTGATTCCAGGTTTAATATTGGCAGGTAGAGAGAGCACAGTCACTTGGAAATATCAGTGCTAGTCGTGCTAACTGGCTGGGCCATGAAGTACAAGAAGACGAAATAGGACACACACTTAAATAAGCGTACAAACACACACTCATGCAGTCAAAAAAAAATCACATTGGCCAGGATGCTCTGATCTGCTTGACGTAATATAGTCTAATATACAGTTCCTAAGTTTTTCGTTGGCCGTGAGTGTAGATGACAGCTAAATTTTCCTTCCTTGAGTCACAGAATTGCTCGGTTGTGATCACGCTAAAAGAGTTAGGCAAAAAGGAGCAGATTACTCAAGTGCTATTTAGGCCCGTCTGTTTCCATGGCAACCGGAATTTTCTGCTGCGGCTCAAGCTCGCGCTTAGTCGTGGATTGGGAGATTTTATCAGCGAATTTTGTTCCTACCAACACTTCTGTAAAGTAGAAAGAAATGGCGAAGTCTAAAGGAAAAATTGAGCTTCAGGTTAGTACAGTGTTAGTTTTTTTTGTCTTAAGCTAATTTTATTTGAATCGTCCGTGCATCTTAGAACGAAATTAGCAAAGTTCATCAGATTTGTGCTATTAACTTTCCAGGGAGATCGATAGAGTTTTCAAAAGTTAAGTCTTAGGTAGAGATTTAAGTTAAGTTTAGAATTGTTGCCAACCAAGTTTACAGTCTGGGGTAAAAGTCCACCACCTTACCGCTTTCTTTATCAATATTGAGCCACTTCCCAGAAAAAGACCGAAGCAATGAGATGCGAAGTGAAATGTAAACATCTCTCAAGATCTCTCAAGTATAGATATTCTCTGACGTTGACGGACAATTGGGAAAAATGGCCAATTTTCTTCTTCTACTATTGAGTATAGCTTTTATAGCGAACCAAGTTTTGTGCAAGAAACTATGTCAAGCTTAATCTTCACGCATGGGGCTTATCTTTAACTATTGTATTATGCTAATACAATCAGCGTATTGATCTCCTTTACTAAACGTGCAACTTTAGTAAATATACTTCTACAGTGCGTCCAGGAATATGCTCGTTTACCGCCATTCCTTTCTCGTCAAGGTAACTAGAGTTTTTATTTCTGTATTTTTTCCCAAAAATTTCAAACCGAAGTTACCAAGAGCACGAAACCACGAAGCTTTACCATTCAAATACCGATCGGTAAATATTGGGACCCTCTATTCCACTCGATTTACATTTTAGGTTTACACGTAGGTGTATAAAATATTGATGATCTATTTACCCGCAGTGCAAAAATAAACAATTCGATAAACATTAACCATATGTGGTTAGATATGAATAACATTAAACAGTAGCTTGGAGACCATTTTGTATCCAAGTGATTGTCGAATTCAATATGGCGTACATCAAAAAGAATCCCGACGCGCAGAGACCTTTACAGGCAAGACGCCCTTTGAACTTACTATATTTCATAAGATGCACGAATGCATGGAATTGTGTTTTTGAATTGTGGAATGGTAGCATTTGGAACTCATATTAGCTCGCTGTTCGTGAAGAGAATTTGGGATTGTTTTCTACGCAATGTGTGTCTAATGGACTAGTTAAGCTTAATATTGTTGGGCACCCGGTAATTGCTGTAGGTTACGAGTTCAGATATTGTTGTAATATGAAACAAACTGATGCGTAACATTTCATCCATTAGTAATGCAAACGGTGTAACACAAGTCAGCACCGTAAATTGTGATCTGAATACCAAATGACTAATGCTCTCACGGGAATACACTGTCGCGTGAGAAATTTCATCTTCGATTCTGAATCTTTTGTTGTAGGTTTTCCCTCACCTCTCCCGGTGATCTTGTCCGGGATTAAGGTCTTTTTCTTTTCCTCTGTTGTCTCGTTATTCAGACGAAACAAACTGACACACGAATTTCTTGTTTTGCTATAAATATTCAGAAGCAGGTGTACTGAAACAGGTCCCACTTTAAAAGTCGGTATATGACATTTGCAGCCTGCAGACTTTTTAACTAATGTCATATTTCCCCTCCATTACCGTGAGCTTATTGTAAACAGTCTAATCTGAGCGTTGTTCAGGCTAACCTCAGTGATATTCAGGCTAACCAGAAAGATATTCAGGCTAACCAGAGTGCTATTTAGGCCTAAATGCAGTCTG